AAAAAGCAGAAAAAATTATTTTAAAGTGCCCTATATGGGACCCTATGCTGGACAGGTGCAAGGGGCTGTCGACTCTTCACTAGCGAACGGCGCTATCCTTTCGCCTTTGAGATGCAAAACTAGTACATACTGCATCCTCTTAGAGAGGCTATGATATCCAGAGAGGGCGCAGGAACATCAAATGAACGTGGGCGCGCCTTTATCACCCAAATTTTTATCCCTATCTAGGCTAAATTTGTTGCGAGACATCTGGAAACCCGTAAATCAGATGGCATCACGAATGTCGGCGCTACTTACCCACTACTGCCCCATTCTTCCAAAATTAGACCAGTTTTCTGCCGTTCCAAAGGCATTTTCTGTTTGATCCGAAACCGCCTAGCGCCCGCGCTTAAGGCACCGCCTAAATGCCGTAAGTGCGAAATCGCTAATCGCCCTCACTACACGGCAAAACCGTAAGAAAAAGTGGCCTGCTTTCGCAAGATTGAGGCAGTAATGGATAAATAGCGCCCAAATGTCTCGTTGTCTCGTTGGTTAGTCCATTTGTGGCGTGGGACCTCATGAGAAGATCGCTTCGCTGACTTTCGTAGTAGGCTATTTATTAGAGGCCTTATTTATCAGTTATGAGCTACCTTATTTGAGACTAGGATAGCGCAGCCAGTGTCCATCTTGCTTTTGAAATTCATAGAAGCAATTGCCAGGTTAGGTTTGTTCATCGTTAAGCACTACATTTTCAATGGTTGTCTCTGGAGAAATCCCTGACAAACGTCGCATATCTGTGGTTCAAGCGACTCCCCCGAAACATATGCTGCTGGTGTTTCTCCATCCATCGGCCATATCCACCCACGCCCTCAATGCTGTCGGAGGCAGATCGCTTTCTTGGAACAGTTGTTCAATGTGCCAATGGGTGCTTACGAGTAGATGTCTTTAGTGACCTTGTACTTCATTACTTGGAAAACGAGCTAAAGTGTGAACAAATCAGAAGTGATAAATTGCCCATTGCAGGTGCATACTCTGCCCTACGAAAGGCGATCAACATCATGGTTTTTGGTCAAGCTGTTTCTTATTTCTGTCATATCATACTATGTAATTTGGTGCCTTGCTTCATGGTAACTGCCTCCTTATAGGATATTTGATGTTATCACTTATGTTGATCATAATATGATTCAACCGAACTTACAGCCATGATCCCTATAAACGATAGTGCGTGTCAAGGGGAAAGATTTGGATTTCAGCCAGGGCACTTTCTCCCAGCCACTGTTGTTGACTCAGAACGACATCATTCGTGAAAGCCGCCCTGGCAACGTTCCAGTCCACGCCCTGTCACACGCCCTATCTTTTGCAGGAATCATGACTGTATCTATGCGAATTGCCTGGCAACGGTGTACTCGTTGGTTGCTCAGTGTTCACCTAACCATTGGCTAATGCAACGGGATCATAAAAAGTGCACATGTTGACCAGATACTGATGATTTGGACTAGGTTGTGGTGTTTTCGGTGGCTTTGGTAGTAATTTATTCGATTGTGATACTTGCATAGTTCATATCGTTTTTTTCTCAAAAATATATATTTATTATTCAAATTGTATCCTGTTTTTTTGTTGTTTTGCCTTTTTGTTGTCAAAGTTGTTAAGTAGAAGCCAGTGATGAATGGTCGAAATGTATACAATCAGCAGAATGTCGATTTTATTGGTATCTGAACTCTCATACCTGAGTCTCGGTTGTTTCCAGTTCACATCAGTCTTATGAGGAAATTTTCAAAGTACGACCACCCATAACCAGTTGGGTGGCCCAACCACAAGTCAGCGAGCGAGGAGGGGGAGAAGAGGGAGACAGACATTAATCAGAAATGCGTAGTAACAATGCGCCGCCACTGCTCGAAAGAAGTGGCATGGTGAAAGGGTACCGTCAGGGTAAATCGTCGGGGTTGGTAGAATTAAAGTCTAGTGGTAGGCAAGCCTCTTCCTCCCTGCCCCCCCCCCCAGACGAGAAAAAAGGAGGATTTCAGTACGGTCCTCCTCTCACTACCTAAGTAGCACATAGCTGATATCTTAGAAATAGGTAGAGGCGGTTTCAAGAGAGATGGAATAAGCCCGTCTGCGTCGTTACCACCAGTGGTATTTTTCCTAAATCTATAGCCAATCGGCCACCATCGGTAGAGCAAGGCAAGAGGCAAGCGGAGGCGGGCTCATTCCGCCCCTCCTGACACCTTCCTCCACGAGTGACTGCTACTTTATCGAATTTTCGAATTTTCTCACGATTCTACAGTTATGTGGGTATAGGAGTTGATACTTCTGATCATTCATCAAAAAAATAGTTTTGCCGCGCCGGAGTCTGGGAGGGGGAGGGGGGAAGGGGAGGAGGGTGAAGGCGGAACTAGTACAGAAAGCTTGTGAAAGAGGAAAGGGGATGATGAACAATCGGAAAAAAATTCTCTGGGGGTGGAGGTCAAGTTCGACGCTCCCGTCCAACTCCAACTTACGTGGTGGTGGAACTTCTAGCCATCAAAGTGCGCTGCAGTTGCCACAATCTCGTCAATCCCGCAAAGAGGTGGGTGTTCAGATAGTCGCCCTGAACCATTCACATCGGATCTCGTGTTCCCTAGAGCTGACTGTCCTCGTTACCACCTTTCATAAAGGCTCCCCGTGCTTGGCAGACAAGGTCATAAAGTGAGTGAGGGCATCGCAGCTGTGTTTATGGTAGCGGATCAAGTCGTACCTTCAAGCATGAGGTTCCTCCAACGTTCGCCGTTTGCTCTATACGTTTAGGGCAGCTTATTAGTACCATTTTTGAACGTATAAACATACGTTCAGAAAATATTTCAAGGAGGAAGAAACGAAACGGGTCTCCTATATCTTGCTGCAGTTTTTTTTTGTACCACCATGTCTCTGCTGTCATATGGGTTTGCAGCCAAATATGGCATTGATGTCCAGCTGTTCGTTTTATACCCCCTGGATTCCACGGGATATCAAGTGACTACCTGGAGAACCGCCCACGCGATGACCAGACTTTTTTATGAAAGCTCT